ATGGCTTCACTAATGGCACATCAGCAGCTGCAAGCACATTCTGCCTGCCAGTGATTAGGTTTCTCCCAATTACCCTTTAGAGCGTATCAGGACAGCTGCCATTTGTCTCAATCCACAACGAACAACGAGCAACAAGCCAAGGGGCACGAATCTGACAGGAAACAGATGCCCCAGCCAGGCTGTATCAAACCTCTCTGCTCGAAAAACACGCCAGATACACGAGGGGATACAGTTGTAACCATCGAGATACAATTGTCCGCTAACGGATTTCTTAGAGGGCCCCTTGGTTTCTCTCCTTTGTTACCCGTGGAGTTGACAGCCTGAGTTCAGCTGGGTTAATGCTGAGACACTCTGCTACAGAATTAAGAGGTTCGAAGGAAAAACGGGCTAGAAATTAATTTTTTTTTGTTCTTTAGCACCTTCAAGCTGAAAGCCATCAGATGCCGTGAGGTGTGGTGGTACCTCCTCCCCTCACGTTCCAGGGCATAGAAGCCCCAAAGGGAGCTGACCCCTCATTCCTTCCATTTGCTGTAAACAGCATTTGATGTATGCACTGATTTCACCCCAGTATTTTAGCTAGTCCATACATCTGGATAAACTGGCACAGGACACATCACTGCTGCATCTGGAAACCTTCCAGATTTCACTGAAGCAATTAGGGAATGTTGTACCAAGCCCAGCAGCCCTGGTTCCAAAGCCCTCCCTCCCAGCTCTCAGGCACATTAAATTATCTCATTTGGTCCTCAGAGGGCAGCATCACTTGTTTTCCTTCAGTGCCCTTCTCTTATTGGATGACATTTCCAAGGCATGTGTGTATTCTTCACAATACATTGCACCAGCACAAGAAATCTCTGTTTCAACTACACGTTCCCCAATACTGAGAGGGGACAAGTTAAAAAGAGAGTGCACAAAATTCTGCCAGCGCTTTGTCAGATGCAAACTCACCTCCTGGGGAGGAATATCGAAAGAGATGGTTCTCATATCGACCTTGATGAAGCTGTCTGTGCAGGGCAGGACGAAAAACAAACCTGTGCCAAAAAAAATGCGTTGGAGAAGATGTGAAAACGGGAGATCAAAGGAGAGGAAACTCGCTGCTGAAATCAGCTGCAATCCCAGCACCGAGCCTGTGCAGCTCTCTGGGAGGAGCTCAGCACCACAACGCTTGTCAGGGCTGCCAAACCAGGGCAAGGCTTTCAAAAACACGTGGGGAAACTTCAGTTTTGTCCAGGTACCGCTTATTTAGAGATTTTTAACGCTTGGGAAAAAGACCCCAAAGCTGTTAACAGCTCACTTTGAAAAATGCCCCCCTACAGAGTTACTTGTGGGGCCTAATTCTGGCAAGCAGAAAGTATCAACCTCCTTTTGTTCACCGATCATTGAAATCCGTGAGCTTTACAGCAGTGTGGAACATTGCAAAACCCGGGTGAAATGAAGCAAGAAGCTCTTGCCCCTTTCTGTCACTCTGGGCAGCGGGAGCAACAGCTGAAAACAACATTCTTGCAGGTGCCAGAGTTTCTAATGCACACAGGCAACTTTTCAAAACCATCAAATACTTTAATGGCTTCTGTCACTTTTGAAGGGCACCAAGGCTCTCAGACCAACTGGGTTTTAACTGATAGATCAATCTTCTTTTTTCCAAGTGCATTTGATGCCATTATTCCTCCCTTTACATTCAATGCTTTTGACTCCACCTGCCCATCACACATTACCAAATCAGAGCCGGGCCAGGCTCACGGATAATTAGTGTAATTAGCTGCCTTCTCCACAGAAAGGATGAATCACAGAACACTCTGAGCAGGAAGGGACCCACGAGGGCCATCGAGCCCAACTGCTGTTGTAACACATCCTCTTACTGGAACTTACAGAACGCTTGAGAAATCCATTCCCCACTCTCCTGCAGTGCCCCTGCCCAGCTCCTGCTGTGCCAGAGGCTGATGAGAGCAGACCCTCCCCAGGACGTACCTGGTCCCTTGGCTCCCCCCTTCAGGATGCGGCCCAGCCGGAATATGATGGCGCGCTCGTACTCCTTTATGATCTGCAACACATCGAGGGGGGTCATGCCGGGGTCTCCAGAAGCCACAGGATGGATTCCAAACTATCACACACCACTCTAAGACAGCCTTGAGCCTCACATTTAACACACTGGCTGCTCTTGAGAATTTTAGCCTAAACTTTATTGTCTAAGAGCAAAAGGAGAAATCAGGACGATATTCCACAAGAAATACTCCTCAGACTATCACCAGGATGTCACCTGAGCAGGTCCACGCATTAGCAGCTGCCATCAGGAATATCCTGGCAACAACACAACAAAGTGCTGTATTTGTGACCCAGCAGGGATTTTTTTCCAGCTCCAAATCTGATGCTGTACATCAGCCAAACCAGGAGGAAATAACTCCTCCTGCCTGGAAACTGGGAACACCAAGCTCCAAGTGATCCCAGATGACACAGTGTCTTCAAATGTGTCACATACAGCCACAGCCAGGGACAGACTTACATATTTATAATTCCACACTTCATAGTTAGACATATGCATAGATAGGGGTCTCCTTAAAAAAAATAAAAATCAAAGTATCAGTCCTCCAAGAGTAATTGTGGGTTCTTGCAATTAATTCTGACCTCCCAGCTTAGCTCACGTGCCACTGACACCAGGGCAGACGTAGTAAAGACGTCAGTGCGTGAATCATTTGGACAAAATATTGTAACAGCACTTTTGTTTTTGGTGTGAAGATGAATGCACTGAAGAGCTGGGTCTGCTGCACACACTGCCTGCTACAGTTCAACAGAGAGCAGAGTGGGATTAATTTGTGTTGAAAACAAGTTACTCAGACTGAGAACAATAATAACCGCTCTGCATTGCTTAAAGCTTTCATGCAACTTAGCAGTGAACAGTTTTACCTTTATGCACATCCAGATGGATATGGGAAATGTAAGAACAGTGAAAACCAGCGAGGTGATCACCAGGATCCATCCACACACACCGAGGCCAGAATCGCTCTCCTCTGCAGGGAAAGAGCAGAAATGTCCCGATTTTTAAAACCAAGAGTGCCTGTTAAAGAAAGCGCCTAAACTGGGTATCTATGTTGAATATTCCTTGAAATAAGCCACTATTAGCACTACTCCTCTGGCCCAGAGCATTCTGTTTGGATGAGAAGTCAGATTGTGCCATGATGGGGTGTGTTTCACAGTACAAGAAGTGAGAGAGATGCTGTCTTGTGCGAAACCACCTCCAACCATGCCACTGGAATTCTCTCCCGAGTTAAAATGCTGGGAAGCCCACAGCTCGGATTTATAGCCCGCCGTGGTGTGCAAACCAAGATAACCTATAAAAAGCAAAAATTCTTGAGCAATCTCTTTAAGAGATAAACCACAAGGAGAGGAATATAAAAAAAAAAATTTAATTGAATCAGCCTTCAACGCCTTTGATGCTGACGGGAACAGTCACCGTTACTTTAGCAAGGATTTATCACTTGGATCATCAAACAGTATTAAGAATTTATAATACACACTGAGTGCTGGAGGCTGAGAGGGTAGGGGAAAGTTCTCGTTAGTGCTTGAGGTGTGGCACACCCTCCAGCTGGGATTTACTTCCTCCTGGAAAGGCTCCACAGTCCAAAGGAGCACATGGCTGTCAAGCAGCAAAGACGTGCCTGGGCACCGGCAGAGGCAGGACCTTCTCCCAACCCTGCCAACAACCACCTGACTGAAAACAAAATGCTGCTTTCAGTGAGATCTGAAGGTCTTCACAGATGCTCCTCAGAGCCTTTCGCATAGGAAATAGCCAAAATCACGACATCTAATAACCAAATCTACATCTAATGCCGTTCAGCCCGTACTTTACTGTGATCACACAGGGGCTGCAGGAGAAACCACATCAGCAGCACGTTTGGGAAGGGTTTGATGAGTCCGAGATGAGGTTGGCACCAGTGTCCATGGTGAGGAATTAATAACTAACATAGTTACTGCATGAAATGCAGATCCTCTCCCAGGATACCGGCACTAACATGTGCCATTAGGCACGAGGCCCAAACAGGTCTACAGTTATTTATACCACAACTCAGATTACCCAGCCAAGGGCTTCCTATGCAAAGCCATCTTATATTTCCTCCTCTAGTTGCAAATGAGAAGACCATAAAATAAATCATGACTTTTCCGTTGCCTGAACAATGGAAGCAACAGGAAAGCAGTCCAGCTTCCAGTGACTGAAACTGGAGTCAGTTCTGTGATTTCAGTGCATCATCTCCAAAACACCCTGACCTGGGTCCCTCTCACACCTGCTGACCGCAAGGCCAAAACCCACTTCATTAACGACACCAAGAACTAATAATTAACTACAACTCCATTGCCCCACTTGAGGAAATATAACTGATTTCTCCCACTCCCCCCAGTGTCATCTACAGACCCCTGTGCTGCAGTGACTAGCACCGGTGCTGTCAGCAAGCAGCCAGCCCCCAGACCCTGCCCCATCTCATTTACTGGTGCGGCGCCCCGGGAGTTACTCATGTTGACTCTGCTCATCACTATTTGCGTAGCTTTCCCCTCAGCGATCCGTGTTACCGCACGGCAAAGGAAATCCCCAAAACCCCCCCCGAGCTGCGCCAGCGGGGTGATGCTCCGGCACCTCCCCGAGGGCGGTTTGAGGGGCCGAGACACTGCCGGGAATCGACACTTGCGGGAATCGTGCCCCGTTAGGCGGGCGGGGCAGCGGGCGCAGCCTCCCGTTAGCCGGGGCTGGGGGCTCAGACCCCCCTATTAACCGCGGCTGGGGGTTCATTGCCCCGTTAGCACAGTCTGGGGGCTCAGAACTCTCCGTTATCGCGGGCTGGGGCCGCTCCGGGGCCGGTCAGACCCCTCGGCGCCCGGGGCTGAAGGAACCGGCGGCCGCTCCTCGCTCCTACCGGCGGGCTTAACTCCGCCGAAGGATCTTCAAACTTTCCTTCGCGGCCAAATAAGACAATCACCGAACAGTAATTCAAACCGAAACAAACAAACAAACAAACCCAAATCGGGGAGAAAGACCCGAAGGCGCCCCGCGCTCGGAGCGGCCGCTGAGGGGCCGTTTGGGGACAGCCCCCTGCCCGCTCCCCCTGCCGCCGTTACCTGGCGCCCGCCGCGACTTGGGCGGGAGCCCCGCTTCATGGTCTGCCATGGCCGCCGCGTCCCCTCGGAGCCCCCTCGGCGTGTCCTCGGAGCCTCGGCCGTGCCCGCCGTGCCCTCCGCGCCCTCTCAGAGCCGCGGCCGGTCCCTCACGGCTCCCTCAGCGCCGCCGCCGCCACGAGCCCGCCCCGCCCCCGGAGCTCTCGGGGTGTGGCCGCGGCCGCCGCGCGCCGCCTGCCCCGCCCCCGCCGCCAGGGGGCGCCCCCGGCCCTGAGGGGATGGAGGGGCCGCCATGTTGGGACCCTCTGAGGGGATGTGGAGGGGGGGCCCTGAGGGGATGGAGAGGGATCCCTGAGGGGATGGAGGGATTGCCACGGCGAGACCCCTGCCCGCAGCACTGGGCTCGAGGGGCAGCGGCTGGAAGCAGGCCAAGGGGAGCAGGCAGGGCAGGGGCGGCAGCGAAGGCACGAGGGGACGGCAGGGAGGAGCCATCGCCTGAGGTAAGCGAGCCCCGGCAGCCCCTCCTGAGGGGAGCAACAAGGCAATTTCCAGCTGCCCTGGCCTCGTGTGTGGTTTAATGTGCGGGTGGAACAACTGTTCCATGAGGAAAGGCCGAGGGAGCTGGGGTGGTTCAGCCTGGAGAAGAGAAGGCTCCAGGGAGGAGGAGCCCCTTGCAGTGCCTAAATGAGGCCTACAAAGTCCTCGGCAGGGCCTGCAGGGCCGGCACAAAGGGGGTTGGATTTAAGCTAAACTAGGGTTGATTTAGTTTAGATATAAGGAAGAAGTTTTTTGCAGTAAATGAGGGTGGGGAGGCCCTGGCACAGGTTGCCCAGAGAAGCTGTGGCTGCCCCTGGATCCCTGGAAGTGTCCAAGGCCAGGTTGGATGGGGCTTGGAGCAGCCTGGGATAGTGGAAGGTGTCCCTGCAGGGGGCTTGGAATGACAGGAGCTTTAAGATTCCTTTGAACTCAGGCCCATCTGGGATTCTATGAAAGTAATATTTTTGATGGGGGAGGTACGGTCTCACATGAAAAACTGAATAAGGAGCAGCTTTCAAGCTAATAAAATCTACTTTTTAACTGTTCCATTTGAGTAATAATATGCTAATGCACACCGTGTTTCTTTCTGTGATATGCTGAAGTGTGTGTCCAAATTGGAAGGGAATTCTGAGGGGAAAAAAACCCTGCTTTTCAAAAATTCACCTCAAGTTTCAGGTTTTACTGATTTTCTTCCTCACATATTGCAGGACACTGATGGAGAGTTTGGAGCTTTCACCCCTTTTGGAAGATGCCAAGGTTGTGACCTCTGCTGCTTCCCTCCAAAGTCCATCCCACAGAGACAGGGTGAGTGCAGGTTATCACATCACACAAAGGCATTGCCTACCAGGGGCTGTAAAGATTGTTGCATTTGATGAGAGTTCCAAGGTTGAGTTCTGTGTTAGTGTGAATTATGAGGACCGCAGATGAACCCGGGCTATTCTTTAACCTTTACCTCTGGGTGAGATGTTGGTAATCAGAAGGCAGGGAAGGGCACGTGTAGACTCCTCTCTCTTGTTGCACTGTTATTCTGACAGTGTGCAATTACTGATTTGTTCACCAGACACACCGCAGCCCAGGAGCAAAAGCGCTGTTAGGCTACTAAACCACACACCTTTATTGTCAGTGTTGATTTTATTCTGTGTAAGATTCTTCCTTGGAAGAGCCCAAACGGGCAGCCTGAATTTTGCTGTCAGAGAGCAATGCAAGAGGAACACACCTCATGAACACTCTTTCTGGTGCTGCTGTGAACTCTTACTGCCACTTGGGCCTGTTGATTTCAGGCTGATCCAGATGGCCTTTTAAGATTCCCCCTGTCTGTTCTCTTCACTCAACGTGTCTGTGGACAGTTGCCGTGAATGCATTTGAGTGCTGACACCTGCTGTTCTCACGCTAGCAATTCCTCAGCATTTGTGTCCCAGTGTCTACAGTCTTGTTGTGGGTTTGCCTGTACTCTTGGGAAAAAAAAAAAAACAACCACATGGGGTCTTTATCCATGGGTAGGTGCAGTGGATATTTCGACATCCTGCTCAAGTGCCTGACCAGGAGCAGCGTGGCAGCGAGGTAAGGCTTGAGGTGGTTTTGGCTGAGGTGCTTCTCTGAAATTTGAGCTCTTAAGATTTTACAGGTCTTCTTTTTTTCTATCCTAAATGATTCTGTGCCTCTTTCCGTTCCCCTGCCGTGCAAGCCATCCACAAGAAAGGTGGACAAAAATGCTAAAATGTCCCAAACTGCCGTCTGCATTTAACAGATTTTTTGAAACGTGTAAAAGGGAGACCCTTTGAGCTGTCCAAAAGAGAACTGATAAATCATCACTCTGTGCAGGCTCAATTTGTCATCTCCTTGCAGCTCCCAAATACCACAAAGAAACTTGCAATGCAGTAAATTTGGCCACGAGCAGTAAATATCATGGTGTTTTAATTAAATTAGAATTTGTGGGATTCCAGGAGCTGGCTGACCCGGGTCTTCTGGCACATGGACTGTTCAGAGTGTATCAGCATGGATAAGGAAGGAAGGGTGTGCTGGAAATGGGAGGGAACAGGCTCTGTAAAAAGAGGAGATAAGCTGTGATGAATCCTTGCCATCCACAGCACATTTGGCACTGGAAAAACCTAAGATAATGATTCTCTGGTTCTGCAAGTGCTTTGAAAATGAATACGAATTGAGCATTAAAAAATGTGCAGCAAGGAAGAGGAAGCACCTCTTCATCTGCCCTCTCCTTTGAGTGAAAAATGAGCCATTAAAGAGCTGGGAACCTCCCTTCAGCAGCATCCAGCAGCAGATGTGTCCTGGGGCACACAGCTACGCTGGCCTTCTGCTTAGGGAGAGGAAGTGTCTCCCTAATTTTAGCTGGGCCCACATTCCATGGATTTGACTCCCTGGCCGAGTGCCAGGGCGGTTGGACAGAGCCCAGGGTGGGCAGGGACTCTGCTCTGCTGTGGGGCATTGCTGCCACCTGCTGCCATTCCACACGGCATTCCTGGAGCCTTTGCCAGAGTGGGAGCTCTCCCTTCCCCTTCCCCTTCCCCTTCCCCTTCC